AATTAGAAAGAGATTGGAAAATGAAGAATTATTCTGTCGATACTATGATTAGAATTATTAGCAAGGCAAAAACACATTTTATTCACATCCTTAAAAACTGTATGAAGCTTCTTTTTAAAGTGCTCAAATTTCTTAACGGACTTGAGTTTTAAAAGAGAGACCTTAATGTTTTGTTTTATTATAAAAGTGACACATATAAATCGTAAAATAAATACAGGATGGTTTTTCAATCCCACTTCACAATTATTAACAGTGTGGTGTGTTTCTTTCTAGCCATTTTTATGAAAACATATGTGTATATAATTTTTGAGATATTAAACATGCTTTTGGAAAATTGCTTTATTTAATATTACATCATGGTTATCTTTTCAACTCTAGGGACTGTTGGACAGTTAAACTGTAGAAAATTTTTCTGTTAAAAAAAGTGCTACAGTGAACATTCTTATATACCAAAAAAGCACAATTTCATATTCTATATACTTTTTCCTCCATGGAGAATATACAAAATCATACATTGAAAAAAAATCATACCATATTAAAATTTTGTCTGTTTTGAGTTTCTATATTTATTGATTTTTGTATTTACTGAATTCATTAGATCATTAACAACCCTATTAGCTACTCTAGAATCACAATAATGAATAGCAGGTTTTTTTGTTTCTTATTCTAATCCATAAAATAAAATTAAAATGAATAACACATTCCTTTTATTCAGGAAAGCTTCACTCAACCTGAATCTATAACATTATTGCATCTTTTGTTTTCTATTTTCTGTTCTCACTGATTCAACATGTAAAATGATTTGTACTTCAAAACTGAAATTTGAGGTAAAAATATTTTGCATTAATGACTTCTCTAATTTCCAAAGTACTTTCATTACCTCATTTCCTCTTCATACTATCTGTGAAGTGGTTTTATTTTCTATTTTCTCAATATTCAGTTTAAAGAACAGTCAGAGCTTATTCTTACTAACAGAAGGAAATACAGCTATATAATTCAAAAT